AAATGGACCATGATTCTACCTACTTTTGGGGTCCAGGTAGGGTTTGGGGTTGGGGCGCCTTTCCCTAAGGGTCCAAGGACCCAAATAATAGGGTTTTAGGGCCCAAATACCATTAACATTATGGTATTTGGGCCCTAAAACCCAATTATTTGGGTCCTTGGACCCTTAGGTAACCCCTTTAATACTGCCGTATATAATCCGGCATATGGCCCCCTTGTGGAGCTTTTACCCTAAAGGAGTCTAGACTATAGCTCATATGGGGTTACGTGCTAGTTTGGGCGATTGTACTGAAAAAGATCGCGTGGGCAGTTGGCAAACTTCAACAACAAAGGGATTTTGTAACACCATCGCCCAAAACAAGGACCCAACGTTTAGGGCTTAGGGTCAATGACTATCGTTTCGCTCCTGCGATGTCCTTATTGTAGCGGTTGGGGTCCCCCCCTAAACCCTAAACCCTAAAACCTAAACCCTAATATTCAAGGTGGCTGCTTTTGACTGTAAGACACTGCTGGCCTCCCCCCCAGGCCTTCCCGCAAAAGAAGCAAGCTTCTGAAGCTGGAGTGCTTAGGGTTTAGGGTTTAGGGTTTAGGGCCTATGGAAACCCTATGGAAACCGCAAAGGAGGAAGATGACAGGCTCTCAACAGCTTTTCTTGCCTCTGATTAGCCAGGAATGAAAGAATGAATCCAAGTTGTAGGGATCCCTATATAACCCCAAGAATATGATCGTTTCTATGTTCTTTCCATTCCTTTACGCCCTCCCAAGCACCAAAGTCTCAACTGCAAACCAGGGGTAAGCTTTTCAAGGGGCCTCGGTAACTTAGATCTCCTGTCCAGACCGGATGTAGGGGAGAGTTTGTTTTGCTAACTCCTTTTGCCGTCTTGCAGAATATCTGTCACACGCAGGAGCATTAGAGCACTGACTTTAAGACCAAAAAAGGGCCACGCGTCAGGAGCGTGCCACAGGAGTCATGCCCCATGGTCCCTTTACTCTTTTACGGGTCTGCACAAGTTTGGGATTTAGGGTTTAGAGTTTGGGGTTTAGGGTTTAGAGTCTGGAGTTTAGGGTTCAAGGTAACAGGAGATGCACACTGAAGTGTTTATGGTAGTAGATGGCAACAATGTACAGGAAAGAGAAGAAGAACCACACTTTACACATTGGGTCGTTGGCGTTTGCCTATGCTCAGGAAAATGCATTCTGAACAGCCGTCATTGCCCCAAGACAACTTAAATAGGGTTTAGGGTTAAGGTAGAATCTTCAGCAACCCACCTAAACTAGCATGGAACCCCATACCGCCCCTCATCTTAACTGATCGCAGTCTTTGTTGGCAGCTTGAAGGGCTCCACGTCCCTTACCCTATATAGCCGTAAACCCCTGCTCGAAATCCTAAAGCTAACATGGAAAACCCTCAGAGGAACCCCACATCATCCAAGATCGTCCCTTTCAAGGGGGACTTGACTTGAAAGGGTTCAACACTAAAACCTATCCCCTCCTCCTAATATTAACCCCACTACCCCCTCCTCTAAGATTAAATACTCCCAATATGTTATAATATACCACATCATGGGAGTATCTAATATTAGGGGGGTGGGGGGGTTTAATATCAAACCCTAAACCCCTAAACCCCTTCAACCCTAAACCCCGAAACCCTTCAACCCTACGTAACCCCTTAAACCCTAAACCCCTTAACCCGTCAACCCTAAACGATAAACTCTAAACCCTTCGACCCCTAAACCCTAAACCCTTCAACCCTAAACCTCTAAACCCCTAAACCCTAAACCGTAAATCCCTAAACGCTAAACCCTAAACCCTAGACCCTAAATCCCTTAACCCTAAACCCTAGATCCCTAAACCCTAAATCCCTAAACCCTAAATCCCTAAACCCTAAATCCCTAAACCCTAAACCCTAGTAGTTGTCCAGGATCCTTTTGGGACGAGCCACCGAGCTTCCACCTCTGCTTGGCCGGTGTCCTGAGCAGATTCGGTGCCATTTTGGGCTTAGGGTTTAGGGTTTAGGGTTCAGGGTTTAGGGATGTAACAGGGATAGAAGGCAATTGATCAAAAAAATTGCTCCCGAACTGGCAATAATGAAAAAGAATTTCCATCATCTTTTTCCTTATAGACCTATAGGATCCGTGAATAAGTTCCCCACAGGACCGTTCTATCAACCCCCATATGAGCTTTAGTCTAAGCTCCTAGTATCCCTCTTAATAACCCTTATAGTTGACCTGGCTTCGGATATAGTCCCCCTTAAGCAGATAGAATATGGCTTTGGGAAAATTACAAAAAGAACCATATATCCCAGATTCTCTCTACTTAAGGGGGACTATAACTTCAACTACCCTATAACCCCATGAGCCTTCAGGCAAACCTGGACCCCCAAAGGCAGCACCCTCACTCACCCCTGGATCTCAAAGCCAGAGTTTAGGGTTACGGCCAGGGCTTCGGGTTTAGGGTTTCTAGGGCTAGGGCAGGGTTTGCTACGGCTTAGGGGTAGGGCTTAAGCTTAAGGATATCATAATACGGGAACTTGCAGGGGTAGGTAGTATTATGTGGCGACTGCAGGCGTGCCCCTCAAGGAGGAATTTGACGTTATGTTGAAATTCGCCCCCCGGAAAAGATCTACCCACAATCCCGAGTCAACCCGTGTAAAACGCATCCATAGCGGCATACCCTTTGGGTGATCCGTCAGGAAACTCATCTGCGCCCCCTGTAACATAATCCATGCCAACCAATTTCCAAGCCAGAAGGGCCTTAACACGTGGATAATTAAGGTGGATATGCAGGCTTCCACATCACACCCCTAACCGCAAGGCCAGCAAGCCCAAACACCGAAAACCTAGATCTTAAGCCTCACGTTTAAGCCTTACTCCCAAAAAGCTACCTCAGACCCATAAGACCTTAAGTTCTAGGACTTCATAAAAGCAAGTATGCCGCAGGGTCCTAGAACCAGAGGTCCTTTGGGTCTGAGGTAAACTCTGAGCGCTACCGGGGGTCTCAGCTGGCTCTTCTTCCGCAGCTGCCTCATCCTCACCTGAGCAGAAGGAGCTGCACATAAGGACTCCGCAGGACGGAATCCCACTGATTAGGCCACCACGCACTGTAGAGAATATCTGTGGCTATACGGCTTCACGTGGCGGATGCCTTTGATCACAGTGATAGGACGCATGATAGAGACAACAGGCAGTCATGAGCCTGTAAACTCATCAATTCGCAATGTCGCGCGAGAACGCATGAGCATACAGCATGCCGGTAATTTGTCTGTCGTGATGCTGACACGACACTGTTATATCCAGGTATCAATTTTCCGAATAAACACATCGACCAAATACTGGTACATCACGCTGCCACAACTAGTATGACCGCGGAAGTTGTTTCTGCTCTGGCACGCACCCCTGTGCTTGTTCCTTAACTGAACGCCCTAAACCCTAAAACCCCTAGACGCCTAAAGCCTAAAACCTAAAACCCTAAACTCCAAAACCCTAAACCTGAGAATCCTAAAACTCTAAAACCCTAATCCCTAGAATCCTAAAACCCTAAACCCTAAACCCCAGAATCCTAAAACCCTGAACCCTAAAACCCTGAACTCAAACTCTGATTCCACGCCCAGCCTTGGTCTTCTTGCTTCTGCTTTGGTTCGTCCCCCTCTTGCATTCGAAAGGACCTGCCTGAAGGTGCCACGGACAGGTTAAGGGCTTTAGGGTTTAGGGTTTAGGATTTAGGGTTTAGGGTTTAGGATTCAGGGTTTAGGGTTTAGGATTTAGGGTTTAGGAATTTAGGGTTTGGGGTTCAGGGTTTAGGGATGGGCTAAGGGCTTCTGGTTCCTGATTGGCATACGGTCAACATCAGAATACCACGTTTCTCCTTATCTCACTGGTGGTTACTGTAGCAGGGCATGAGGGTATATAGTCACTATATAATTCCTATATTCGCTTATTCTCTATTCGCCCCCTGTAAGTTATTGGGTCTTAGCGTAGAGCACGCTGAAACAAATCCGTCCAACAATGGCTGGCGCAACATGCTATACCCCGCTGCTGACTGTCCTAGAAAGACTGGCTGTTGAAGTCTCAAAGGGTTTAGGGTTAAGTCTCAGCCGGGGTGCTGTGCACAAGGCCTTTCTTACCGCCCGTTGTGGCAAAGTACCGCTTGCTCACAGCAGTCTTGGAGGTGTTTCGTGCCAGCGAGAAGTTGTCCGTCTCTCCTCTTTCAACAGCACGTGCATACTCAGCACCACTTCTTGGGACACAGCTCGGTTCATGTACACAGCCTTGCTCACCATTACTATCTCCGCGTCTTGCAAACAACTCCATTCCACGCAATACGACGCTATTCGGTGTTGATTGAGGCAGGGATATTAACCAGAGTTCTTCACCCTTCCTGATCTCTCTCCTTGAGGTGCCACTGCCTCCACCACTTCCTTGCCGACATCCAAGACCTCCTTGGGTTCATCCACCTCTTCCTTTCGCTCCCGAGGCTTCTCTTCTGCTGCCTTGCAACTCACGATGCATATGGGGGTTGCTAGAAATCGGGGGCCCCAACATCGGGGGATTAGGAGAGGTGCTTGGTAGGGGTTATAGGGGCATCATATTGTCCAATACCAAAGGGCAGGAGATTATGATCCGAGACTGAACACCGTTCTTTGGGATGGACTGTTACTATTACTATTACTATTACTATTACTATCACCATCACTATCACTATTTCATTATTATTACCACTATTACCATTACTATTATTACTATTATGACTACTATTACTATTATTATTACTACTACTATTACCATT